TAGTCAATGATTGAAGCTTATAATAATTCTCAAAGGATTATAATAAATCTCCTAGAATAAACCAAGTAAGGGATTATTTATAATTTTTATGGAGGGCACCATCCTCAATTTTGATGTCTTCATGTAGCTTAATAATATGTGCATTACAAGTGAAGAATCACGATGTTAGCATGATAAGATTGTGTTGAGTTCTATGAAAGTAATCTCCAAAAGACCCTTCTTGTTCATAGGTAGGCCCTTTCACATTTGTGAGCGGCTCCTCATTCTGCAAATTCTCTTCATTATCATCCACTTTTCGCTTTAAGGATTGCTCCATATTCTTGGCATAACCCTCTTGAACCTGACACATCTACATCTCTTTAACTATAGTGTGCATCACCACATCTTGAATCCCATATAATTATTCTATGATAATAAAAATACTTATACCTAACTTATAATTGTATTGGCATATTAATAAATATATTGAATGATACTTCAATATGTGATCTAGCTAGAACATGTGTTGATATTCTTGTAACTTTCAAGTGATGATTATGGCTTCAAAATTGATGATATCATAGAATTGATCAATATTAATGATAATACTATTTCTAAGAGAACCTTGGATGGGCTATAACTAAGAGGAGTTAGTTAGTAAGATTGGTTAAATAATGAGCATGTTATAGTTTCTTAAAAGCATCAGCATTGGGAGACTTCATACAACACATCCTTTTTTCTTAGCTCTCTCATAAATATTGTCGACTACATTTATACCTCTCCCTCCTAATCTTCTTATCATGTTTTAATGTTAATGGAACATTGTTCTTGTTCTCCTAGGAAAGCCCACATTTCATAATTAAAATGGTGTGATGTATGTTGGAAGTTAATACTGTTACAATGCCATGAAGAGATAGATCATTCATGGGTATCAAGAATACAAACCAGTAAAATTTTGAATTTAAAGTAGAGTTCAAAGTCTAAATATAAGAAATTCTCCTATTTCCAAATTTATAACCATATATTACAATTTTTCTACTTTTTAAAATATTTATGATGTTGTCACATATATTTGTTCTATTGATCTTTTATTGATAAAAAGTATTAAGGTTACTAGTTAACAATGGTAGTTCAACAAATGTCATTTTCTTTAACCCAATTCATAAAAATGGGAGTTTAACCCAAAAATCTTTAAGGAAATGTAGGTTTTTCTTTGGAAATATGGGCTTTTAAAGGCATGATAATTTCAAAGGTTGTTAAAGAAACTTTCAAAAAAAAAAGGATATTAAGGTAAATAATGACTCTTATAAGAATCCCACTAAATGGACTTCTTGGTTATTAATTTATGCTCTAACTGCCTACAACAAAACTTTCTGAAGACCTCTCCTCAACTCATTTAAGTTTAGTGTCTTCACGTAAAATTGGGTCATCAAGTTCCTAACTTCTAGCAACAATACCACTCTTTTTTCGTGATCTCATACAATCCTAAAAATTATATATCTTATTAGAGGAAACCATGGTGATGCATGGTGAAAGAGTTTATAAGAAGTCAAGGAAAAAAATAGAAGATGTCATCAAAGTATTCGTTGGTCCTAGTAATGACCCTTAATGAAAAGACTACAAGATGGAAAACATACTGATTGTATACATGGTCCTTTCTTATCATGTTAGATCTGTCCAAATAATAGAAACTCTCTTCTATCTTTATCTTTCTCCTCTTACTCGATAATTACCATAAACTTGGCATGTTTCTACGAACAATCTTAATAAAGTTTTTACAAGTGGTGTGATGATTTTTTGATGAGTCTTCAGGGGTATCTAATTATTTGAAGTTAGCTTATTGCTAATTGAATTTTCTATCCCAAACCCTAAGCTAACCCCTATTGCACTCCAAACATTCACTCCACCACCAAATCAACTCCTCTAGCATATTTATCATCTAAATAAGCCTCTTATGGAGGGTTATAAACTAGTTTGCCCCTCACCAAATGTTACTGATCAAAACATCAATATACATTTATATTTATTGCTTAAAAAATCACACACACACCATATATATATATATATATATGAGCCATACAAATACAACATTCCATCTCATTCTTGAGTACAAAAAAATAATAAAAAAACAAAAGATAGAAAAACTTGAAGACTCTTATATCTGATCGGTCTCACACTCCTGGTCCTTATTCTTTACCTGAAATCATTAAGCCACATATAATGGACAAAAAGCACAGCATGTTACTAAAATCCTACAACTGAACTCAAAGTATGATAAACAAATAATATGCATGTAATCATTCAATTCATAACAGAAACATTCAATATGATCATGAATATATGCAAAAATAGTAAAAAACATATATAATATATGATAAAATATATTTGTGAACCAGTAAACCAATACAATATGAAGGCCAGTAAAATAGTGCAATACAAAAATAATAAAATTTGTAAACAAATAAACCATTATGTATGTCAAAATAATACAACATTAAACAATCATTCTTATAAATTATACATCATAGCAATTCAATCAAATGAATAAAGAAATCTTATAAATCAGTGAAACTGAAGCCTCTATGAAGTTGGTCAAAAATCCATAATAATGTAATTCTATTAAATTCGTAGGCACATGATATTCAGTTATTTTATATCAATATCAAATTAGTATCTTATATCACATGCTTAGTAGTAATAATCACGTGCTCAATATTACTAAGTCAATAAACTATAAATTAATAATAATAATAATAATAATAGTGATAGTGAATTAGTAGTAGTAAACAAATAATAATAAAATCTATAGCAGCAATAATGAAATAGTGTAGTAACAATAAACATACATAGTGACAGTAAATTAGTATAATGAATGCATCTCAATAATCACACTAAATAAGTAAAGAGCTCTGGCTTGCATGATTTTCTTAAGTAATAAAGAATAATAATTATCATTTTATCCAGTGAAATTATAAAATTAATAATCAGTACTATGATATATAAAAAGTTGTGCACTAGAAGTTTACTAAATAAAAAAATGTAAAAAAATTATTTTTGGCCGAAATCAAACAGTTAAAATCAATATTTGAAATCAAGGGCAAAGTCACCTACAAAGATCTGATTAATTTTCGTAAAAGTAACAAAACAGACTGGTGACCAAAATCTTGATTTCTCTTTCCTTTCTCCCTTTTTCCTTCTCCCCTTCCTCATTTCCTTCCACGGCAAGCCAAAAGAGAGAAAAAACTAAGTGGAGAGAAAAATATATAAAAATACTCATTTTATTTTGCAGCACTATGGCGCTCTAACCTAGAGCCGATGTGATTCATGATAAATCCTTAATTATTGTTGAATAGAACCTTTAATGGAGCAATAGCAATTTTTGGCACCGTTATGTTCATAACTTTAACGATGTTGTGTCCATAAGCACGTACAACATCGCAGCACTCTAGTTCAGATAGAAATTTATATTTTCATTTTAAATTTATTTTGATAATTATTAAGTTGTTACACTAAGTGGCATTACCAACAAGCCATAGCATTGAACTATTCATAATAATTCATAAAAATTTTGGATTTAATATCAGGAGGCTCTTCAATAGATTTTGCAAAAAAATGCATGCTAATTGAATCAAATATCATTTCCTTGTACTTCTTTTTTTATTATTTATTTAATGATGCATAACTTGTTGAAGAATAGCAATGAGAATCAACAAGTAGCTTGCATTCTCCATTTGATAACCTAAACTTGTAAATAGGTTAGAAACTCCTCTAATACAAATTAACTCAAATTTTATCTAATTTTAGGTATACTTAAATTTTGTTTTTAAACTATGGACATCCGAACTCTCTCTCAAAATGAAAAAGCGGTGATTGAGTAGTTACATACACAAAATATTCAACTCGATGAGATATTTGGTAGTAAATCCATTAGATTCTTGTATTAATCTATTATACATCTACGTTCACTAACTTTGTACATCTATTTGTTATATTTATTTAAGAACTAATCATATTACCCATTAATGACTAAGATATATGAACTATGTACATAAAATAAAAACAATCTTTCTATCATACATTTAACTTGAGAATTTCAATGACCAATACATAAAAAAGAATGATGTTTGATATAAAGCACATGGTCTCAAAGGATGTATGTGTTAAGAAGAATATGGTAATTTTACAGTTATGCAAGCTAATGTTCATTTCATTGTAAGTTGTCACGGAAAGAAACAACATTCTTATCATGACTTTATATGTATATATGTATGTATGTATGTATGTATTGAATGGCAAGTGTAATCCATAACTAAAAAAAAAAACCACAAACTTTAAATTTCACGAGCTAAAATTAAAAATAAAAAATTAACAGAAAAAATCTTAAATCAAAATCTCAAGGAATTAGAGCCAAAGTCCACTTGTTAATCCTTTCCATCAATATAATTGTCTATTTTAAATTATGGTTATTGACTTTTGTTATCCAAATACAGTAACTAATTTATCTGTTAATCCTTCTATTATGCATTAATATAATTAGCCATAGAATCAAACGAGGACAAGCACAGTAAAATTCGATGACAAGTCAAAAAAACAGAAGAAAAAATAGAGATTCACTAAAAACAACCCGAATATTATTTCTCTCTCTCTCTCATTTGGCAAATGTCTCTATAAGTAAAATAAGAACTTTAGAAATGTCGAACAACTTTAAAAGAAAATAGCTTGACAAAGTTATAGTTCTTCTATCAAAATTGGTATATTTACATAGCTATATTACTTCCTGTCTCCTTCCATGAATCTTCCTGTTACCTTCATGGAACCTTCATGCCTTCCACATCTCTTATTTTCAAGTTTCTCCTTTGAAAACCACCTCGATCGTCTTTGAATGATAGATATAAGTGATTTTTTAATCTCAAGCACAGCTTTTTTGCTTTTCTACTATACCAAAGAAGTAGATGGATGGAATTTAAATAAACAGTACTGGTCAATATTGACTGGTCACCACTGAAATTTTTTAGGGGGTTTTAGGGGGTTCCTTTGTCTGCATCAAGTATTGCCATGGTCAAGGACTTCTTTAAGGACTCCTCATCCCAATCACTAGCCTGCAGAGATACCACACCAGCATATATATGAAACTTCAGCAATTTTTTTTAATTAATTATAAATAATGTTGCCTTGAGCAAGATTTGTCTAAGACTTCATTTGGGACGACTTTTTAATTTGCTTTTTAGCATAAAATTTGTAATTTTTCTACTAAAAACTGATTTATGAAACAGTAAAAAAGCCGTCCCAAACAAAGCCTAAGACTTCATTTGGGATGACTATCTTACTGGTTTTTAAAGCAACTTTCTCGTTCTAAAAAACTAGTTGAATAAGCAATACGAAAGCAATCCCAAACGAAGCCTGAGCATAACAAAACTATGATAAAGAATTTTTCAATCACTTTTAACAAATTATGTCTAGTAATTAATATTTAATTTCCTTGCTTACAAAATATCATTAAACTTAAACTTTGAATGATAGATGTTGTTGACATTAATTAATTGTGTCACACCAATTCAAATATGATACAAAGTGGTGATTTGGACTGGTCATTGATCTTCATATATTGCTTAAATATTAAATTAGGTAGAGAATTGTAATCTGGAATGTTTCGGATGCTCAGATTTGGTGATTGGGTTGGTGATCAAAAAGTATTTCAGACACTATTTGAATGCATGTCTGCATTAATTGAATTTATAAATGATTGAGGGGGTTTAGGGACTATTTGATTTGATGTATTATCAGTGTAAATTTAAAAAAAAGAATAAATAAATTTTAATTTTTCATGTCTTTCTTATGAAGTAAAATATTGGAATACTCTAAAGCAGTTTTTATGAATTTATTTATAGTTCGTCTAAGTTAGGGCAACTCCAATGGAACGGCAAACAAGTGTTTGTCGTTCTTCCTTCGCTCCAACCGTGCGCTATTCTATGCGCCATTTGATTGGGGATGAACAGTGCGACACCAATATTGGTGTCGCACTGTTCATCCACCGTTTCTTTTTTTTTTTTAATTCGAAAATTAATTATTATTTTTAAAGATTCAAGTTTAGAAAATTTTTATTACTATTTAAAATAATAAATTAGAAATATCTTATTTTTTTACTAGAAATCTAAATATTTTATTATTTTTTACTAGACTAATTACTAATCTAAATAAACGTGTCAAAAAATACAAATTAGATAACATTTTATAGCAGTCAAAAAATTGGATTCATTTTATAGTCAATCAAATACAAAAAATAAATCCCAAAGATTTATTTTACAACCAATAAAATAATTTTGAAAAAATAAAATACTCTGTTAATAACTTACACTGCATTCTCAAAATAATAAATCCTAAATATTTAAAATCAAGCTGTCCATAAATATGAAAGGTGCTGATTTAATTATTAATGTTTTCCTAAATTATAATTTTTTGGCTTTTAGATAACTAAATAATTATATAACAATTTTATGAATTTTCAAGAATTACTAATCCTTTAGCCTAAAATATTATCTTTTTTTTTTTTTTGCTCTTTTAAGTTATTAGTTGAATATTAGTAATTATCATCATATCAGCAATAATTTTAAATTATTTTCTTTTCTTTTTTAAATAATGTGTGACCATAGCTTAAATTTCTAATATTGTGCGATTAAAATGTTTATATCTTATATTTTAAAACTCTAAATAATTAATAATACTCTCAATCCTTCTTTTTTTTCCAAAAATGCTCTTAAACATTTTATAGTTGGGTGCAAATATCATGGAATTGAAAAGATATTTATTATTCTTCTTAAATATGAAAGGTAGTGAGTGATTCAATAATTAATTCTAGTCCTTATTGCTATTGCTTTATCACTTGCATAAATGAATAATGATATGACTATTCTATAAATTTTCAAAATTTGAAAAACATTTAGCCTGAATAATGTTTTTTTACATTTTTTTTTTAAATTATATTTGTTTAGTTTTTAAATTCTATTTATTTTCTTAAATAATGTTTTACCAAAGCTTAAATTTTGACTACTAACTAGTAACTAATTATCAATAAATTTACTAATCAAAAGCTTTATAAAAAAATTAATATGCTAAAAATATTTGAAATTCTATGCCAATTTTTTATTAGGAAAATATTTAAATGTTTTATTATTTGTATATATATATTTAAATGAGTTATCTTCAAATACATATGCAAAATTTATCAAGATATTCTGATGTAATATATTTTCTTTTCTTCATTCATGCATGATCTCTTATTTATCATGGAAGATTTCAAGCTCAATGATAAATCATATATTAGGTGAACATGCAATGAAAAATTATAAAATCTTCTTGCTTAGGTTTTGTTTTGGACAGCTTTCTTCGTGCTTTTTAAAGTAGCTTTCTAGTAAAAATTTATAATTTTTGTACAAAATAGCTGCTTTGAGAATCACCAAAAAAGTCGTCTCAAACGAAATCTTAGTTGACAAGATATTGTTTAAGCTTGAAATAATTATTTGAATGGAGATGATTAATATATATATACGTTATATTAAAATTTATAATCGGTTTCAACTTGTTCAGTTGATAAGAGTTTTTGATTAGAAGTTGTTTTAATTTTGATGGAAAAAAAAAACTAAGTAATTTCCCATACCTGTACTTGTAATGTAAGGCTTGCCATTGTAGGATTTGAGCTTGCATCAATTGTAGTCAAATTCATTATTCCCATCCGCTTTAAGCACTCAAGAACTTTAAGAAGAAAGTCTATCATGTTCACCTCTTCTCTCACAATTATTAAGAGGTATATTTGCTGTGCTTCTGATGTTGATTCTGATGCTCTGATAACTTGAATTTCTACCCTTTCATTCGATTCAGTAACTTGAGGAGGTTGTTTATTTGATTTTAGTACCATTTCAAGCTTTCGATTCCTCTCCTCGAGCTCATTGATCTGAGCTTTCAGAGTTCTCAAGTAATCTTTTGTCTTGGAAAGCACTGTTACATAGTCCTTCTGTTACAAGATTAAGGTTCACCATTTTGCATGAGGTAAACAGAAATGAGGAACTAGTTATGGCCATAGGTAATTAACTAATACTGTGACACTCTCAAAAAATTTCACATAAAATTTTATTTGCAGCCAGGTTGGACAAATCAAATTTGTGAAAATGTTATTAAGTTTTGATTGTTGATCCACAAAATCAAATGTTATAAATTTTTGGGTAGTATAGATGGTCTTCTCAAGATTAAATATATGTTAGAACTTCATAAAAGTTGTAGCAAATTGAATCAATTGATCACAGTTAGATTTCATTTGAGTGGAAGTTTGCATGATGTAGGTATATTAAAATGGTAAATCTAAAAGTAATTTGAGGATAAAGAACATGAAGTGAGACTTACCTTAGATCCAGGAGGAAGTAACATTCTGAGATCACGCAAGCTCTCATTTATCCTCACTCTCCTTTTCCGCTCAGCCATCACATGATGCAGTTTACTGCTAATAGGTAACCTTTCTTGCCTTCTAGCTTCAGCATGCTTCAATGAATACATCTTTCTCAATAATGATATAGATTTCTTTATCATTCTTTGCCCTTGTAACCTTAAATTCGGTTCAAAACTCGCCGAAATCGAACCGAACGGCTGGAATGAGCTGGAAGCCTGAGTTACTCTACTTTCTTCCTGCTGCTGAAGATCTTTCTGAGAAGAAGCTGAGAGCACAGCCAAAATTGCTCTTGTTAATGCATCATCATCACTTTGAGGAGAAGGAAGTAAGATATTTCTGTATAAGTTATAAGAATCCATATTTATTTGATGGTGTGGAGTTAAAGCTTTTCCAAGTTTAAATGCTTGATCTGATCCAGATTGATCTGTAGCTGGATTGCTCAGAATAAAGGAAGTGTATTCTGGACTTCCAACTGAGAGAGATTTTAGAGAAGAGGTTGAAGAAGATGAAAGTATTTTCTGATCAGGTAGGAGAAGATCTCCAAGCTGAGGTTGAGATCGTTGAAAGTTAATGAAGTCTTGGTTGAATAACATTTGTATGTTTGCCTGTAAATGAACCTCTTAAACTTTCAGATACTACATATTATCTATAGTTCTAAATTTAATTTTCCATTAAGTAACTTACATTATTGGCAGTTAATGATCCTAGTTCAATCTCTCCACACTGGCATCCAATGAACACGGCCTTCTGCTCATTAAATTAATCAGATTTTAGTGAAATGGAAAACGAATAAGTAAAGAATGAATGAGAAATAAATGAGAAGATTGAGTCTGATATCTGATACCAACTTTTATTCCAGCTTCCTGCATGAAGAAAAGAGAAAATAAATTAGAATAAAATCATTTTAATTATTCTAATATTCTTTTCTTTATCAAATCTCCTACACAACAACTCAACTAAAAATCTGAACAATTTAAAACTACAGCAATGAGAGCACATGCCATTAATGTCACCTTGTAGAACTCCAATTGTGCAAAAGTTGATGCTGAGTTCATTAAATCAGAGTCCTCTAGCTGTATATAGGGCAATCCTTGCTTAAAAGCCAAGCCAGGAACATAACTAGAAGCAAAAAAAAAAACAAAAATAACTCAAAAATCTGTCATATAAATAACTTGAAGCCTTTTTCGGCCACTTGAGTGTATGATAGATATTAATTATACCCACTCTCCACGCTGAAAAATGAACGCTTATAATCTTCAAAGAGCTTCCTCTTATAGCCACCCGAAGAAGAGCTCGGTTGCCTATCATCTTCATTATACCATCCATCCATGGAGATCAAACAACTATATATAAACCAAAATCAAAATATAAACAAATTAAGTACTCTTATTACATGATTAGAAGGAAAAACTCATAAAATAATTTCGATTTGTGTTTGTATGGAAATAAAAGAGAAGAGAGTGATGGCATACTTGGATGGATGAGGAAGATAATACCATAAGCATATATATGCACATCCGAGATTTTGGGCTTCTGTTTGTAAGAAATATGAGCGAGCCTCTGGACTAAGAAGAAAGAGAGAGTCCATGCATGAATAAGGTGAAGAGAAGAATTATAGCTATATAAGAAAGAAGATGAAGCTTCCATACTGTTATGAGATTAGGGTTTTTGATTGTGTGTGATATATGTAAGAGGAAAGGAAAATTGATTGAGAAATGGAAAAACAATCAGTGGTAGGAAGCCACGCAGAGAGAAAAAAAGAAATAAAAGTCAGTTCAAAGTCTTTGCTTGAAAAGTATTGAAAAGGGTCAAATGAGATGGCAGAATGGTACAAGTTGCTCTTATTATTCTATATATCATATTTTATTATTCCTTGAAGCTCTATTGGCTTGCTTTTTCTTGCCTTGTAAAGTTCCTGGTATGCAAATCCAATTTGAAATATTTGTTCAACATGTTTTGAGTTAAATTTTGATTATAAGATCACACTTTTTGTTTCACAAAATAATAATTTTTATCTTATAAAATAGGCATAAATTATTCTTCATGACATGTCATGTAATTTGTTTTCTTAACTAAATTTGCATAACTATTTATAAGTGTCATATTCATATAAAATGGAAAAAAAGTTGTCTTTTATCTTGATGAACATGTTATGTAAGTTTTATTCTTAGCTAAATTTAAGTTAGAACATCAAAGATTTGGTTTAGTTGGCATCAATTTTTTTATTTTTTATTTTTTAAAATACTTGTTTGCCTAAAATATTTCTAAATAAGTTTTATTTATATTTTTTTAAAATACATCAAGATCTTTAGTGTCTTTTAATTAAAAAATAAAAACCAAGCCACCGTCGTCATCAACCTTGTTGGTTTAATCATTTACACAGCCAACGACAATCATTGACAAATTAACCTTGCTGGTGATCATTGTCGATGGAAACCAGCAGTAGTAACTATCGTCATCATCACTAGCTACTAGTGATAGACGAATATGTTCATCGCCACTACCACAACCCCTTTCAATAATTGTTACTACCATCACCAATGGTCATCGCTACCACCATCCTCAGTGGCGACCATCTCCACTGGCCGCCACCGCCACCACTACTGCTTACCTACTGATGTTGTGCACCTTGTCAGTGGGAGCCACCACTACCATCGTACAGTTGATCGCCGCCCCCACCTCTTTTTTTTTTTAACCCCAAAGGGGATTACATGTTAAACCTCAAAAAGGAATACAAAGACCTAAAGGAGTCCATCGGCTCGTAAATGCTCAAAGGAGCTACAAAACAAATCAAAAAAAGAACCTAAAAGCCAATAAACTCCCCAAACAAAAGAGATAAAGCAACCTATAAACAAGTTAATGATGTTATAGACTGGCATCCAAAAAAGAAAGATATTAAAATCGTCAAAAAACCCAATCTTTCTCCAAAAAACCTTGGACTGATCCAAAGTAAGCTCCACCCAAAAAAGGCTGATCAGAATGATCTCGTTCAGCACAATCTTCCAGCCTAAAAGAACAGTAGACCTAAAAATGCTCCACATAAATAAGACGAAGAGGACCTTCCAATCATTGAAAAGCAATCTGATAATATCCTGTGGGGCCTTAGTAAATTGTCGAACCTGCAAAAAGGAGAAAGAACACAAACACAAGCTATACCCAAAAAGGCTGTTAGCAACATCAAGATAGTCAAATGTGTAAATAACAACTAAAAATTTTAAAATAATCAGAAACTTCCAATTAATGCAAGGCCTAAGAGTCAGACTATGAGAGCTCAGGAAATTCTCGAGTATATCAGGTTCATCAGCCCAATCCAAAAGCCGCTCAATCCAACATATGGGATGCGGACTAGAGCACAGAAATAACACTCTCCAGCTAAACCATAAATAATCAATACAAGAGATATTACTGCTTAAAGAGAAAACACACCACAGCCTAGCAAGCTGCAACCACCAGCCCTCACCCCCAACAAGATGATAAGACGAAGAACCATCGCCCGTCAAGCCACCCAACCAAACAATACAAGACAAATTAGCCCCAATATACCACCACATTAAAGAGAGCCAACCCAACCAACAGTCAAGCACCCCAGGATGGAGAGCAACTAAAGGATTGAGATACAGCCCAAAAACCCACCACATCATAGCCCTAGTCCAAAAACCCAGAACCATTGCAGAAATAATAAAATTCCAGCAGATGACGCAATCAAGAACCTCTAAGCCCAAAGAATTGCAGCCAATCAGACAAGTAAAATCACCATAAAGAACCATGCTACGAAAAAATAGAGCCTTCCAGTAATAGAAATCCACAGGAAATTCAAAGAAGAAAACCCAATAATAGCTTAAATTCAAAGGAATTAGGCCAATAAAAAACCACAGAGCACCTAAATAAAAACAAAGAAATAGAAAACAACCAGCACAATTAAAGTTTGACATAAGGGTACCACATTTGTCTTGATAAAGTAAACCTTTAAGGTAAATAGGAATAGTAGTAGGGATTAAATCAGTGATATAATCTAACCTACACCCCCAGTTAGCCAACCAAGAGGCAGACGAGTTACCCAACTTGATAACCTGAGACAGATGGTAATGAAATTGCAACAAAAGTCTTCTAATGTCCTTAACAATTTAAAAATCATTATGAGAGCAACCAACATCGACCAACTCACGCAACGGAGCGATAACAACTCCAGAGGTAACCTCAATATACAGATTAGAGACATTTAGAGAAATACATAAATGTAAACCATACAGAATAGTCTTAAGAATATTCGTATGAGGATGAGCAGTTTGAGTAGGCCCCGCAAAGGCAACCAGCAAATTACCAAGGAATCCCTTATAAGACCCGCACAGCCAGCCTTACCATCCACAATAACCACAGCAACATTAAATTTAAGGAAATTAGGAGGAGGCTTAAACCAGTAATCAACATTAATAATAGAGGTAGGCCGGTTCCAAATAATCCCTAATAAATTACTAGCAGGATAGCAATCTTTAAAAGCTCTTCATGTTAATCAAACTAATAGCCACCAAAGCCAAAATCTTATCTTTCACCCTATAAATAACATTTTGATTATTCATTTTAGTACCCTTAAAAACCGAATTGTTCCTCTCTAACCAAAGAAACCAAATAATGAGGGAGGGAATAATATTACAAATATGGCCTTTAGTAGCAATAAACCAAGAATTGAGTAAACTACGAAGAGACGTATGAGCATTAAAGCAATTCAGATTGAATAAATCATCAAAGAAAGTCGAAGTTCTAATGGCAATAGGACCCGAAATAAAAACATGATGTAAATTCTCACCATGATAACAACATTGGCAATTAGAGGCTAAACTGAAACCCTTAGAAAGAAGTCTATCCTATGTAGGGATAAATTTATGTAAAAGTCTCCACATAAAAATATAAACCGTGGAAGGGATGCTTTTATGCCAAATCATATTATAAACCTTATCATTGTTTCCTTTCTTTCTGAAATAATTCCAAGCCTTCTTAATATAAAAAGCACTATTATTAGAAAGATTACACATAATAGTGTCTTTAGCCGAGGCATTAATCGGGATAACTAAAATACGATTAGTAAGACATTCAGGGAGATTACTTGAAAGCTTATCATAATCCCAACCATTATTATTAAAGAATTGATTAACTTTAATAAGAGCAATAGAAGAAGAATTTAAAACAGAATTAATCAATGGAATCATTGCCAAGCCACTTATCTTGCCAAAAAAAGATGTTACCTTCCCTAAGGCCCCATGAAATTAGCGGTTCTACCTCCCATTTAACTTTGCAAAGTCTTTTCCACACTTTGGAATCCCGCTGCTTAGGAACAATGTTAGTAGGATGCCGACCAATACAATACTTATAGTGCATATAAGTATCCCAAAGGTTATCATTAGCACGGAAAGTAAACTAGAGTTTATAAGAGAAAGCCTTTGCAAGATCATGAAGATCCTTGCAACCAAGGCCACCTTCATTCAACACACCACAATAATTATTCCACGAAGCCCAAGTAATTTTAGAAGTAGAAGATGTACCTTTCCAGAAGAACTTATTAAGCATTTTGTGAATTCTGCAGCACACTTCTTTAGTGGGAGAAATGGATTGAAACATGTAGACAGGTAAAGCACAAAGAACACTTTTGGAAAGAGTAAGTCTGCCTTCAAAACTCAAAAAATTAGACTTCCAGGATAAGAGTTTATTTTGAACAGTAGAAATGAGATCATCGAAAAGAAAAGTATGTCTCCTACCTCTAAAAAGAGGAACCCCCAAATACTTTAAAGGTAATTTAGAGTGAGTATAACCAGAGGAATGATTAATAGCTAAAATCCTAGTATTCAAAATGTTCTTAGAAGCAATAAAGCAACATTTATGTTTACTAAAAGAGAGCCCACTAACTAATTCAAAATTGTTAAAAAAATCCAACAATTTCTGAAATCTATTAATAGTTGCATTAGTGAATACAATGAAATCGCCCGCAAAACATAAGTGGGAAATATGAAAACCTTTCAAAGTTTTATAATACAGCCTAGGGTTAAGCTCAAATAAATTTGAAATACCTCTAGATAGAAATTCAGCCGCAATAATAAAGAGGGTAGGAGAAATAGGATCACCTTGCCTTAAACCATTAGAGGACTTAAAGAAATCATGACTAGTACCATTCAGAATGATGAAAAAATGAACATTATCAATACAATTCTTAATAAGGTTGATAAAACAAGAATTGAACCCGAAAAGATCAAGCATGTAGTATATAAAATTCCAATTAATATTATCATAAGCTTTGGCGAAATCAAATTTCAAAATAATATTACCCCCTCTAGTCCTAACATCCAAATCTTGAGTTAATTCATGAGCAAGAAGAATATTCTCAGTGATAGCCCTACCATTCACAGAGCCCGTTTGAAAAGGAGAAATAATTTTAGGCAAGAAAACAGAAGGCGATTAGAGATAATTTTGGAAACCAATTTATTAAAAAAAGTACAAAGACTGGTTGGCCATAAATCATTCCAAGTTTGAACACTATTATTTTTAGGAATAAGAACTAAAGAGGTAGATGTAAAAAACTTAGGGAAAGGATTGCCATCA